TATGAATAACAGCAGTTTATTGTTTATTTTGGAAGTAACTTTGGATTTTTTTTCTATCGAGAAAAATTTACGGAATGGTGTTTTCGTCTAACGTAGTCCTTAACATTAATCCTCAACTTTACCATATATTTATTTCAAAATTAATGCTGCAATATTTTCGGCATAACGAAGGATCTTGCTAAGCCATTTGAGGTTATATTTCCCCTTAATAGATGGATGAATGGAATTTAGACGCGAATATTTGTGTTTTAAAGCTGTGATATCTCAGAGGCTAAGCGTTCACAACATTTTATCAGTGTAAACTTTGTTGGTTTATGTTTTATATATTTTTATTACATGCAAGTAACTCTCCCCCCGGGTTCGCATTAAAAGTATTTGTTAATATGGTGTTTTTCAGATTTTTTAAATAGCAATCGAAAGACCACTTTATTTTATATTTTTTTTGATTTCTGAATAAAAATCATCCAAGTTTTTCGGATAAAATGTAGCCTAGATCATATCTCGTATTACTTTCTGTTTGTTCGTCAAATTTCTATAATAATAATAACATCACTTTATTTTGACATAAAAATAACTTCATTACAATCGCTTTAGCAATTTATAAGATTACATACTGACAGACAATTTTTTTAACATTCAATACATGTCATAATGAACGACGACACAGACTTAGTTTAATAAAAGAGGCAAGTTACGGGTTTATAAAATTAGTGGCTGTTCCGCGGAACAGCCCTATGTTTTTTTTAATGTAGAATAAGAGTGACTAGCCCAATCATCCTTTGTGACATGGGCACATGCTTCAACGAATATAGAAGAAATGTTAAAAATCTTTTAATTTTAAATATATAGATTGACTTGGCAATCGCACGAAATAGTCTAACTTAATATAATGTGGATTGCTTCTGAGATACATTGTGTTTTCATGCGATAGCCTGGTCAATCTATTTATTTAAAACATAAAAGATTTTTAATATTGATATGGTCACCATAAGATGTTGTTAGGGTAGCTAATTACGTAATAACTGAAAACAGAAGGACCTTTAAGTAGGGACTGAATAAATAAACCGACTTGGTATTACATGGATCTCACAACTTTTTTACGGTAGAAGAACTGAGTTGCGAGACTTGGGTTTTTTACAAGTTATGTTTTTGATGACATTTTATTTTCAGTTGACAACTTACTGAAGTGGCGGCGTACAATAATCCATAACTTCGTATTATTATCCCTTCAGTTGAGTAAGAGGCGACATAGGAAAACTGAAACAAGAGATGGGCAACAGCATCTTCCTGATAATAACCCAATAACAAAAAAGCTGCAGCTACAAATCTATCAAGTCTAGCAGCTACGAAAATATCTCTCCTATGACACAATCTATGAAGAACTTTTGACATGCTGTGTGTAACAAAATGATGACTGTAAAAACTTTCATTGTTTTGAAAAGCAGTCACATCTAGCATCTGCGAAATATCTTCAATGATAAAGTTTTCAAAATTACCTAAAATGTCAAGAATAAAGATCGAAAACTTTTCATACTGCGGCTTTTACGGTAATAAAAACATCAAGTGTTACATTAAACCGGTTGGGCGTGACACATTCATACGAGATTCAAGCGTCAATTATCCCAGCTAATATAGGCGCTAATATAAACAAGACAAACACACAAGCAAGCAACAGGAAGTGCAACAAGAGCTACGCGAGTCAGAAGCGGCGTGTTTATAAATACTACACTCTCACCTTCGCTTGTTGTCCAAAATTATCACGTTGTTGACTTCTGTGCAAGATATAAGCGCGGAGAGTCAGCCGTGATGAATGCTTTTAGAATTCAGACTTGCGATTTCTGTGTCTTGATGGAATTCTATTACTTATTTGATTAAAGTATTGGAACATTTATTAATGTTAATAAAATACATTATTATTATTTTTATTTAGGTAATCATACAGCTTTTTTGTCGTATTTACAATAAATAATAAGGTACCTGAGGGTAATATGGTCACGTTGAGCTTTATCGCACTATAAAACCAAAACTAGAAAAAGGACAACGACAAAATCTCAAAGTCTTATACTACAAACAAGCTTTGGCAATAATTAGGAACACTTCAAAAAATCTACTTAAAAAACTAACTACACTATACCATACTAAAACTGACTAAATATTTCCTATAAATCAAGTGTCAAAAAAGCATCGTCATGCGTCCATAAAGCATCGGCCTTTTCACCCTTTATTGTTTGATTGACCGATAAAGAGCTATCTTGTCACAAAGCCATTTCTGCAAACTAGGCTGTAGTATTTGAGTTATAAGAAAGTGAACATATAAACAGGATGACCATGTTACCCTTATGTACTATATATTGCAGGAAGGCCAATAGAGATTACACAATTTTTTATCAACTAATCTTTAAGCTTGCGTGTGTGATTAAGCCCTATTTTTGTTTATAACATCGTGTTTGATGCGACTCTTGAATAGGTTAAAAATATTCACGTCAGCATTATATATTATCAGATACTATAATGTCTTATTATAATTTGGAGTTTTATCAATGATTATTATTTTTAGATAGTTATCAAACGGATAGACGAACGTCACAATCTTCGCACCTTAGACGATGTACCCCATTAGCTTCCTGGGCTATATATGACCAGATATTTCTTCAGTAATTATTCCTTTATTGATTGATTGTTATCATAATGCAGTTAAATATTGTAAGAATAATACCCATGCAACTATACATAATGATTTAGTGGTAATTTCTACGTAGTAAGTAATAAATGATCGATGGATACAAGTAGTTGAAAACCGTGCTTTGTAGCATTCCTTGCTGGAGGCCTATATAGTGATAATGTTGACGATGATGAAGTAATAAATAATTAAATAAGGTTTAATATAAGCTGTCAAAACTACGTTTCAAAAGTCATTATATTATATATCATCGTAATCTGATATTAGAAACTCGCTATCACTCATGAATTGCAACACTTTAGAGTGCAACATACTGAGTTGCGTGGCCCTGACTGGGCTAAGGCCAGTCGCCTTAGGGTGCACACTTAGTCATAAAATTAGCGACTTGTGTCCAAACCGGTTTTCTATCAAGTTGGTACATATTTCATTATCGTCTTTTATACGTCTCAAAAATGACATGTACTTTATAAATACTCATGTTGCTTTGTGATGCCTTTATGGCACGTTTTTTTACATCGTTATAGAGTTGAAAATCAACATCATTATAAGACAACAGAAATAACTTCAGTTTTCAACCTTCCAATAACATGATAATTATTTATTTATTTATACGCTTTAACATAATAAATAAAAATTAGTACTAATATTATATATATATATATATATATATATATATATATATATATATATATATATATATATATATATATATATATAATATATATATATTTATTTACATGTATAATATATTATAGCTTAAAATCATATTTAACCCAGTGAGGCATGTAAAATAATTATTATTTAAAAGTCTTAAAAGTACTGAAATAATTTAAAGTAACCACTTTGAATCGAGAAACTCGATTGAGTTACAATCGAACATTGTCAGTACCATTAGGCACTTCCAGATAGTTTATTGTTCGGAGATCGTTTAAATGAATTAAGAATTTACTTTTTAAATATTTTATTACATAAATAGGACAAACTAATCAAGAAAAAGCGTTCTCGTCGAGTGTGCTTACGAACGCCATCTAGCAGTGGATAGCTGAAGACTTTCGTTCTGATAATTCCAATTTGAATTGATCATTCGATTGCGCGCTAGCTACGGTTTCAATAGTTTGAAATTTAAATGAGTGTGAATTAAATGCGATTAATACAGAACTCGATTCTGTCGGGAGTAGGCTAACAGGTCTCTCATTGTTAGCCGATAATACTCTGCTACAGGGCGTACAGGTTTCCTTGCAATGTTATTCTTCACCACTGAGGACATTATACATCACAGCTTAAAATTGCAATTACGAAGTAGTACTGACAGATATCGAACTCAGGTAGTCACGTACTATGAAATTTTTGCCCAGAGCTTACCTTCTGGGCAATCACGGCTTTTCATTATTTTATTTATATTTAGGAAAACATTGCAAGGGAAGGGAAGGCCTTGTCATAGTTGAAACCGTATTCAAATCATTCTTCATTAATTTGTCATTCATGAGGTCTGAATAAAAACTGTTATGTGTGCAGGGAATAAAAAAAGTTGTCTGAAAGTCAACCTCACTTGCAAACAGCGATATTATGTCGAAGTCCGATGTTATAATCAGCCCGTTGATGGGGCTACAAGCCATTTATATTAAGACCGGTTTTCTATAGACTCCCTGAAGAAAGGGTAGTGAAATCGCTTAAGGTAACGTTTAACAAAAGAACGGACCAATGTTTAGTCAGTTGGTTATATCAAATTATCACAGTTTGCGAGAATTATCATGAGTTTGTTAGACGGGTCAGTTCAAAATTATGTGTAAAGTTTAATTTCCTTAGATAAATTGGAGGCTTATCTTTGGTTATAATTATTATTTATGTTTCTTTGTCATTAAAATGCTTAAATTATGTCAGCTGTTGACGCCATCTTGTGAAATGACTGATATCATCGTAGTGAATGGAAAAACTGCCAGATTTAAATAATAGAGCGATGACAAAAAATGCCATCAAAGGTATATAGGTAAGCTTTGTTCTTGTGACAAATCCAGTTCAACCAGTCTATTATACAGTCAATATATATTTCTCACTGTCATTTAAAATTAAAAATAAAATAAGGATAAGAATTATATTTGCGCGAGTGAGCGTACACCTGACCGATATTTTTCAGTCAACAACAGATTATAGCAAGCAATTAGTTATCTGAAGTGGTATTAATTTACATTTCTATTGAAGTACCACTTGGGGATGTCAATCTCGTTATTCCCGGTTCACTAACGTTGGTTATAACAAAATAAATATCATTATCTGTGTAACATACGCGGTAAACTGACAAGGGTGAAGCGTTATCGTCTAATTAGCATGCATTATCGATGTTCGCGGCAAAAGTGCAAGGCTTGCCCTTGACGGCGGCCGGACTAACGCAGACATGCACACGAATATGTTTATTATTTACGAATACCACTTCAAGGTCCCCTGGAAAGGAATCGTCAGAAAATTGGCATGTGTTTACATCTTAATACCTATATGCTATTCTCGGAAATACATTAACTGCATACACTGTCGCAAACGCTACGTATGATGAGAATAATCAAAGGGAGCAGGGTTAAATCGGTGTTCAACAAATACGTATTATTTAAGGATAGGTAGCCATGTTGCCGCAGCGGCGATTCTTTTTAAAGACACTCGCGCATTTGTCATTGCAAACGCAGTAAAATTTCACAAAAAAGAACACCAAATGGAAAGTCTGAATTAAAACTCTTTCGTGCTTCTTATTTATTTCTTAACTTGTTAATATCGTCCAATAATATGTAAAATGTAATCGGAGTATCACAAACAGGACACTACCTTGTATTTGTTTCCTTTTTTTATTTTGTAATATATATAACGTCTTTAAGATACGGTCGAGTGATACATGTGATTATTATTTTGTTGTTCATGTGATTATTGATTGTTGATTACATGTGTAATTTTTTAAAATAATTTTCTTGATTCCAATCTATTAAATTTTTATACTCATGAAATGTTACTTTAAAACCTCGATAACGTCTTACATTTAAGATTAAGCCTTAATAGGTTACAATTGCTGCTAAGTTCTCGGTTGCATAGGTAACACTATTATAGTGTAAAAGTGTCTTCTATTTATTAAATCAAGATATTGAAACAATAAAAATGGAAAAGAAGGAATATCCGCTATTTTTTGTGATACAAAATGATAATCACTTTTTAGTACATTGCGTATTCTTTATAGCATTTCTATAACAACTACTACGTCTCATAAAGCATACAACGCAATGTACAACAAAATCACTATCATTTTGATGCCAGTAAATAGGTGTACTCTTGCAAGAAGCAATATCCACAACTGGTCTACGGTAACGGTAATATTACGTTAAGTGCTAAGGTCCCGCAACAGAACAAGGCGACGAGCTGCGGCGCCAAAGGTGCCAGACGTCTAGCACTGCGATCGTTAATCCGCCTGGAAAATGTGGCGATTAAGGCAAACCTTCTTTACAATATGATAGACCCATTTTATCCATAATGTCTAATAAATACCTGGACAACCATTGCCCAAGTAATTATAAGCTGGCCTCGGAAACCAGCCGGCAAAGCTTAGTTTGTGTGCAGTACTGGCTTGAAGAGCTGTAGTAATTCAGGGGCTAATTAACAAGTCGGGTTTGACCTTTGGCTGCAGAAAAGGAAGATCTACCGGCGGGCCATTAGTTTAGTAGTAGTTCAGCCCGAGTAGCGGCCGACGCTCCGTGTATTTGTAGAGTTGTTCCATGTATAGCACAGTACTTGGGAACTTTGATAGCGCTTCGCTTGAGGCGCGACGACAGCACTGCTACAGAGCCCTGCTGACACCAAAGAGAATTGCAATTTTAAGTGCTAATTTACTACGTATATTCCTTTCTATATCTTAACGAAGACGTCATCTTGAATTTTTTATAGGATACGGTGACAAACGAGCACACAGTCCACCTGATGGTAAGTGGTTGCTGCGGCCCATAGACATCTACATCTATCCTTGATTACAAATCAAAATGCAGATGCGTTGTCACCCGTGAGAGCTAAGATGGAATGGCTCTTTTCCAGTAAAAAGGGTCTCCGGTTCTCTACACTCACCATACGAAACACAGCAGCATTAAGCTACCATTTCACGCTGGTATTCTGTGAGAGCGTGGTCCTTCCCCGGTCAAGCCGACCCATTCGTGCTACAACTATACAACTAATATAACTGCAGCATGATTTTACCACATATATGCATACCACACTTTTCTGTTATCATACAATTTATAACTGTATCATTCAGAGTTACCCATAACATACTAACTACTAATATGAATTACATCATTTCTACACCATACTTTTTATTCTCATGCTTCTTTTCGCACACCCAACCTTCACTACCATACCTAACACACTTGGACACAACATTGTGAATTGCCACTCTTGTATTTTTTAACACAAGTTTGACTTCCTCCCTAAGAAATTTTACTTAAAAAATTAGATAATGCTTTCATTTTTGATATTTTTGATCTTCTGCGCTCTTCGTTCTTTATCTTTTACCTTTTTCCATCGCAAACCAGAGAATATAACCTTTTAACTTTCAAAAGTCAATTGGTGTTGAGAAAAAAAGAAACTCAAGGAAATTATTGCGCGGCAAAAGAAAATGGCGTAGAGCTCGGACCCAAGACAAACTTAATTTCCTAGACATAAAGTTTAATTGCCCACATAAAGCTCTATTGTTTTTAACTCCTCGTCCCGCTATCGCTGCGTCGTCGTTACGTTGCAGTTACCAGTCCGTTTTGTTCAAGCGAAAATGACATTTTCTACCATTTTCGTTACGGATTATATACGCCTTTAAATGGTTATATTACATGATTCCATTTGCAGTTATGAAGAGTATTCACTTTTTATGTAAATTACTTCCTCCAATGAGGTTTACGTCCAGCTGTGTTTTGGGTTATCATTTTATAAAACGGAAGTTAAGAACTGTCAGTACGTTTGTACTTACAGTTCTTAACTTCAAACCAAGAAACTTCTCATGCGGTATAAAGCCACGTTGCAGCTGAATTATGGTTGTTGCACGAATGGGTCGGCTCGACCGGGAATGTCCACGCTCTCACAGCGTAAAATAGCAGCTTAATGCTGCTGTGTTTCGTATGGTGAGTGCGCGTTTGTCATCTAAATAAAACAATAAAAGAAAAACAGACACCTCTAATGCGGAATGCTTCACAGGCTGTAGTTGTATTGGCTCTGTGGACCTGTTAAACTAAAATACAGGACCGAAGATGAAGTAACAACAATATTCAAACATCTTTAAGCAGAAAAAATAAATATTTGTTATCAAAACACTACAAAGTATCTACGCTTAATCGTGACTTAAATAGTAGGTAACGTTTTTAATTGAAATAGGTTATTAAAAGTCAGCGGTCAGCCACCGCGAGACCATTGCACCTTATATGCCACATTGTCTTATTGACGGTGATATGTCTTTCCTAGTGGTTTTGGGATAAGTGAGTCTCCACTAATCCCAATATATGGTTCACCTCTCTCAAAACGTAATTGAGAACAGGTAGAAGGTGCTCTTCAACCTACGTACGACCTAAAAAAACATCCAGAAATCTTTTTACTCAATTAAAACTTCTTTTCAGATAAGTAGACGATACATTTTAGAAAATTTGACACAATGTTTAAATCTAATACGTAATTCTTATAAATTAAAAAATTTTATTTATTTAATTAATAAATTTGATATAAATTTTGAAATAAATTAATGACAATTCGATATGTAACATTTATAATTGACTCTATATTTACTGACATAAGAACAATAATATTTGACATTGAGCTATAATAATACTTATACAAGATGTATATGTTGGCAATTTATTTTTCTGACACTGTTTCATAATTAATTAATCATCAAATCAACTGAGTAATGTTAAAAAAAAATTGAGTTGTTAAAAAATCGATAAGTATTGTTGTTTAAGTTACGGGTACTTGACTTAATTGACTAATATTTGCACACCACTGAGGTAGAATATGTAGAACAAATTATACTCAAACACCATTGTACAACCATATTCTTGCAAATAAAGATTATTATTATTTATGTGGTATCTATATAGATTTCCCATCTGGTTGGGTTCTATAAATATATAATTATAAATGAAAATGAAAACATAAATATACATAAATATCAATAACATAAAATAAATATAAAAGTACATAAATAAATAAAAGCCCAACCAGATGGAGGCCCTCGGCAGGGGAGACCAGTTTGGTCTTAACCCGAGGGTTAGGGGGAAAGGGAAAGAAACCGGCGGACGATGCGGGCGGTATCGAGGAGCACCGCCTTCTGCATTTGAGCCTGGAGCGGTCCGCCACGTAGTCCCAGCCGCCTCAGATGACCCGAGAGGCTGACTGGGATTAGCCCGTTTGCAGAGACGACTACAGGAATAATTTCGGTCGGCAGACCACCCCACATGTCGGTCACCTCGTGAGCCAGGTCCAGATATTTTGTTTGCTTGTCTGTTTCGGCTTTCACGAGGTTCTCGTCATACGGAATGGTAATGTCGACCAAAAATATCCTTGACTGTGCCCGGTCCATCAGCACAATATCAGGTTTATTCGCAAGAATAGTCCTGTCTGCGATGATGGCCTGGTCCCAATAGAGCCTGGCGCGATCATTTTCGAGCACGGCTTCCGGCAAGTACTTGTAATACGGCAATTTCCGATCCACGAGACCGTATTTCAGAGCGAGCTCCTGGTGTAGAATTCTGGCTACTAGGTTATTACTATTATTATTGTGGGGTATCTATATAGTTTTCTCATCTGGTTGGGATGCATAAATATATAATTATAAATGAAAATGAAAGGATAAATATACATAAATATCAATAAAATAAAATAAATACAAAAATACATAAATAAATATAAGCCCAACCAGATGGAAGCCCTCGGCAGGGGAGACCAAACGGCCAAGGGTTAGGGAGAAAGGGAAAGAAACCGGCGGACGATGCGGGCAGTATCAAGGAGCACCGCCTTCTGCATTTGAGCTCGGAGCGGTCCGTCACGGAGTCCCAGTCGCCTCAGATGACCCGAGAGGCTGACTGGGATTAGCCCATTCGCAGAGACGACTACAGGAATAATTTCGGCCGGCAGACCACCCCACATGTCGGTCACCTCGTGAGCCAGGTCCAGATATTTTGATTGCTTATCTGTTTCGGCTCTCACGAGGTTCTCGTCATACGGGGGATGGTAATATTGACCAAAAATATCCTTGACTGTGCCCAGTCCATCAGCACAATATCAGGCTTATTCGCAAGAATAGTCCTGTCTGTGATGATGGCCCGGTCCCAGTAGAGCCTGGCGCGGTCATTTTCGAGCACGGCTTCCGGCAAGTACTTGTAATACGGCAATTTCCGGTCCACGAGACCGTATTTCAGAGCGAGCTCCTGGTGTAGAATTCTGGCTACTAGGTTGTGCCTGTGCAAGTACTCAGAGTTAGAAAGCGCCGAACAACCGGAGATGACATGCCTAAGTGACTCCCCGGGATGGCGACAAGCTCGATTATTATTATTATTATTATTATGGGGTATCTATATAGTTTTCTCATCTGGTTGGGTTCTATAAATATATAATTATAAATGAAAATGAAAAAATAAATATACATTATTATTATTGTGTGTGGGGTATCTATATAGTTTTCTCATCTGGTTGGGATGTATAAATATATAATTATGAACGAAAATGAAAAGATAAACATACAAAAATATCAATAAAATAAAATAAATATGAAAATACATAAATAAATAAAAGCCCAACCAGATGGAAGCCCTCGGCAGGGGAGACCAAACGGCCGAGGGTTAGGGGGAAAGGGAAAGAAACCGGCGGACGATGCGGGCGGTATCGAGGAGCACCGCCTTCTGCATTTGAGCCTGGAGCGGTCCGCCACGTAGTCCCAGCCGCCTCAGATGACCCGAGAGGCTGACTGGGATTAGCCCGTTTGCAGAGACGACTACAGGAATAATTTCGGTCGGCAGACCACCCCACATGTCGGTCACCTCGTGAGCCAGGTCCAGATATTTTGTTTGCTTATCTGTTTCGGCTTTCACGAGGTTCTCGTCACACGGAATGGTAATGTCGACCAAAAATATCCTTGACTGTGCCCGGTCCATCAGCACAATATCAGGCTTATTCGCAAGAATAGTCCTGTCTGTGATGATGGCCCGGTCCCAATAGAGCCTGGCGCGATCATTTTCGAGCACGGCTTCCGGCAAGTACTTGTAATACGGCAACTTCCGATCCACGAAACCGTATTTCAGAGCGAGCTCCTGGTGTAGAATTCTGGCTACTAGGTTGTGCCTGTGCAAGTACTCAGAGTTAGAAAGCGCCGAACAACCGGAGATGACATGCCTAAGTGACTCACCGGGATGGCGACAAGCTCGACAGATGTCGATGGTGCCATCCTTTAGGATGTATCTCCGATAGTTGTTGGTCTTAATAACCTGATCCTGTATTGCACAGACAAAACCCTCGGTTTCCCCGAAGAGGTCACCAAAGCGTAGCCAGTGGAGAGAGGTTACTGTGTCTACGAAAGGCCCATGTAGAGACTTGTAGAACCTCCCGTGGAGCTCCTTCTCCTTCCATACGGTCTCCCGGTCGGAAATTGTCTGCACTGCCGGGTCTTGCCATTGCTCGTTGGCTAAGGATAGAGGGGTAAGTCCTTTATCACAAGAAATGACGTCCTTATAGAATGGATCATCCGATCTCGCCAGGAAGTAATTACGGAGGCTGCACACTTCGCGATTATGCATGGTGAGCGCGCTCAAGAAGCCACGCCCACCATGCTTTCGCGGCAAGTACAGCCTCATTACCAAAGATCTCGGATGATGCATCCTGTGGGACGTCATGGTAGTGCGGACTTTTCTATCCAGGGCGTTAAGTTCAGTCTGAGTCCACCTGAGTATGCCAAAGGTATACATGAGGACAGGTATGACCCAGCCGTTATATGCTTGTGTCTTATTCACACCGGACAAAAGGCTGTTAAGCACTTTGGTCAAGCGTGCATAAAACACGTCGCAAACTGACTGTTTCATACCAGCCTCATCGATACCAATGTTCTGTGACATACCCAGGTATCGGTATGTTTCAGCCTCGGAAAGGGTCCCTAAGTTGACGGGCATAGATAAGTCTATGCCCTCAGAGTTATCAACCCTACCCCTCTCAACATGGAGGACCGCACACTTATCCGTCCCCAGCTCCATTCCAATGGAATTGCTAAATTCACAAGTGATGTTTAGCATTTCCATAAGATGGGAGCGACTGGAGGCGAACAACTTGAGGTCATCCATATAGAAAAGGTGGGTCACTTTTGTCCCTCCTTTCCGTAGCTGAAATCCCCTCCCGGAGCCCTCCAGTAAGGTACTGAGAGGGTTCAGAGAGAGGCAGAACCATATTGGACTCAGACAATCGCCCTGGAAGATACCCCTTCTTATCCTTATGTGGTTCTCCGCAGCCATCATCCGCTCGCCCAGATGACAAAGGATCGTACTCCACTGCCCCATACACTGCTCGAGGAAGTCTCTAACTGTACAGTCTATCTTGTACAGTTCGAGGACTCTCTTTAGCCATGTATGGGGCACCGAGTCGAATGCCTTTCTGTAGTCTATCCAGGCGGCGGAGAAGTTCCGACGGTTGCGTTTCACCACTTTGCCAATGACCGCGTCAATGAGGAGTGGTTCCTTGGTTCCACGACCGCCGCCCCGACATCCATTTTGAGCGCGCGACATCACCTGATTTGAGTCCAGGTGACGAGTGATTCTCGCGCTCAAAATGGATGTTAGTGTCTTATATATGGTCGGTAGACATGTGATGGGGCGGTATTTGCTCGGGTCTGTGGTACCCTGGCCTTTAGGAACCAAATGGGTGATCCCAGTAGTGAAGAGGCTCGGGAGCGACTTCTGGTTGAGAACCTCTTGAAACTGTCGGGCGAGCACAGTGTGACACACCACGAACCCCTTCAGCCAGTAGTGATGCAGCCCGTCGAGTCCCGGACTTTTCCAGTTCGGGGCCCTACGGACCGCCTCAGCTACGTCATCCGGCGTTATGGTGACGGGGTCCATGGGCGTAATACCCGCACACTGACTCGCCACAACTTCCGTCCAAGGGCCCTCGTTGTGGTTTACGGGCTCTGACCACAGGCTGCGCCAGAATGCGACCGTGTCGGCCTGATTCGGTACTGGGCCCGTTCCACTTACCATTGGTCGCTCCAATGATTTATAGAGCCTCTTCTGATCACTCTGGAAGAGACGATTCTGGTTGAACCGTGTCGACCTCTCGGTATATCGCCGAATTCGCTTTCCCCAAGCAGCGATTCTCTGCTTCAGGTCGTCTATGCGCTCCGTCAGTTTTTGCATTATATCCGGCTGGGACAAACTAACATTTGTCCCAGCAAACGCCATCCTGACGGTGCGCACAATCCTTGGCCTGGTATTGCCTGACCTGAAGCATATCAGTCTGCCGATGAGGGCCCTAGCCTTTGCGATACGTTCTTCAATTCTTGTTCTCCAGGCTGGGATAGCACTACTTTGTCCAGTAGTGCGTCCAGCCGTGGAAAGTTTGGCGCCTATAATACGGCAGACTGCCAGTGCGGCGCCAAAGAGAATTGAGTCCGTCTCGCAAAGGTCCCGGCTGGCTTCCAAATAGGTCACCAGCATTGGGTTCAGAGCCCTCACGACAGCCCGATTCCGCTTGCTTAGGGCTATGCGGGGAAGTCGCGGTCGATTTTCGAGAGGCGTACTGCGCGTTTCCATAATCGCCTCTTCCAATGTACTCCTCATTTGCTCTATTTCTAGTTCCTGGGTGAATGTTCCATCATCATTTGAATCAGCAACCACTGGGGTATTCTCGGCGGCATCCACGTGTGCGGGTTGTTCTGCAACTTGTGGCACCGCACCCTCAGTCGTAGCGTTTTCATTTGATGAGGGAACAGCCTCACGTCGTAGCCGTTCGAGTTCGGCGCCATCAAATATATTTGAGCGTAAGATATACCGAACTCGGTCTGCCAGGTTTTGCTCGGTGACAGTAATAGATGGCTCCAGCTCAGTAAAAAGACGATGCATCCTAGCCCGATACGCGAAACCTCCAATTTCTCCCCCTTTCGCCCTAAAATACGCCCGCAATGCGTTTGAATTCATATTGATGGTCCATCGCATGCGGCGTACTCCACCAGTGGCGGGTGCCGATTGCTGGGCCTGCGAAGACCCTGCCGACACCAAGCAAGCTGGTGGGGATGATGGATGCGAGGGGCTGCTGGGTGGTCGTGCAGCACCTCGCGCTCGGCTGGCGGTTCGCATGCTGTCGCGTCCAGCGCCAGCTCCAGACGCGCCCTGACGACCTCCAGGCAGCGGCCCTTTGCGCAATCTTCTATGTTCCATCATCCATACAGGGCGTCATTTAACGGGAGACGCCCAGACCCGGCGCCGTTTCATGGTGAGGCCATATGCACAAGCAGGCCCTTGCACCATCAATTTTTGCCGAGGCACGGCGCTCACACCTCTTGGCAAGGTGCTGACTGACTGCGCGGACGTAGCGGTTTTGTCACATAACCGTCACGTCAACGGGCGATGGGGTCGTCACTTCCCTACGCCATATTATTATTATGTGTGGGGTATCTATATAGTTTTCTCATCTGGTTGGGATGTATAAATATATAATTATAAACGAAAATGAAAAGACAAATATACAAAAATATCAATAAAATAAAATAAATACGAAAATACATAAATAAATAAAAGCCCAACCAGATGGAAGCCCTCGGCAGGGGAGACCAAACGGCCGAGGGTTAGGGGGAAAGGGAAAGAAACCGGCGGACGATGCGGGCGGTATCGAGGAGCACCGCCTTCTGCATTTGAGCCTGGAGCGTTCCGCCACGTAGTCCCAGCCGCCTCAGATGACCCGAGAGGCTGACTGGGATTAGCCCATTCGCAGAGACGACTACAGGAATAATTTCGGTCGGCAGACCACCCCACATGTCGGTCACCTCGTGAGCCAGGTCCAGATATTTTGTTTGCTTATCTGTTTCGGCTTTCACGAGGTTCTCGTCACACGGAATGGTAATGTCGACCAAAAATATCCTCGACTGTGCCCGGTCCATCAGCACAATATCAGGCTTATTCGCAAGAATAGTCCTGTCTGTGATGATGGCCCGGTCCCAATAGAGCCTGGCGCGATCATTTTCGAGCACGGCTTCCGGCAAGTACTTGTAATACGGCAACTTACGATCCACGAAACCGTATTTCAGAGCGAGCTCCTGGTGTAGAATTCTGGCTACTAGGTTGTGCCTGTGCAAGTACTCAGAGTTAGAAAGCGCCGAACAACCGGAGATGACATGCCTAAGTGACTCACCGGGATAGCGACAAGCTCGACAGATGTCGACGGTGCAATCCTTTAGGATGTATCTCCGATAGTTGTCGGTCTTAATAACCTGATCCTGTATTGCACAGACAAAACCCTCGGTTTCCCCGAAGAGGTCACCAAAGCGTAGCCAGTGGAGAGAGGCTACTGTGTCTACGAAAGGCCCATGTAGAGCCTTGTAGAACCTCCCGTGGAGCTCCTTCTCCTTCCATACGGTCTCCCGGTCGAAAATTGTCTGCACTGCCGGGTCTTGCCATTACTCGTTGGCTAAGGATAGAGGGGTAAGTCCTTTATCACAAGAAATGACGTCCTTATAGAATGGATCATCCGATCTCGCCAGGAAGTAATTACGGAGGCTGCACACTTCGCGATTATGCATGGTGAGCGCGCTCAAGAAGCCACGCCCACCATGCTTTCGCGGCAAGTACAGCCTCATTACCGACGATCTCGGATGATGCATCCTGTGGGACGTCATGGTAGTGCGGACTTTTCTATCCAGGGCGTTAAGTTCAGTCTGAGTCCACCTGAGTATGCCAAAGGTATACATGAGGACAGGCATGACCCAGCCGTTATATGCTTGTGTCTTATTCACACCGGACAAAAGGCTGTTAAGCACTTTGGTCAAGCGTGCATAAAACACGTCGCAAACTGACTGTTTCATACCAGCCTCATCGATACCAATGTTCTGTGACATACCCAGGTATCGGTATGTTTCAGCCTCGGAAAGGGTCCTTAAGTTGACGGGCATAGATAAGTCTATGCCCTCAGAGTTAGCAACCCTACCCCTCTCAACATGGAGGACCGCACACTTATCCGTCCCCAGCTCCATTCCAATGGAATTGCTAAATTCACAAGTGATGTTTAGCAATTCCATAAGATGGGAGCGACTGGAGGCGAATAACTTGAGGTCATCCATATAGAAAAGGTGGGTCACTTTTGTCCCTCCTTTCCGTAGCTGAAATCCCCTCCCGGAGCCCTCCAGTAAGGTACTGAGAGGGTTCAGAGAGAGGCAGAACCAGATTGGACTCAGACAATCGCCCTGGAAGATACCCCTTCTTATCCTTATGTGGTTCTCCGCAGCCATCATCCGCTCGCCCAGATGACAAAGGATCGTACTCCACTGCCCCATACACTGCTCGAGGAAGTCTCTAACTGTACAGTCTATCTTGTACAGCTCGAGGACTCTCTTTAGCCATGTATGGGGCACCGAGTCGAATGCCTTTCTGTAGTCTATCCAGGCGGCGGAGAAGTTCCGACGGTTGCGTTTCACCACTTTGCCAATGACCGCGTCAATGAGGAGTGGTTCCTTGGTTCCACGACCGCCGCCCCGACATCCATTTTGAGCGCGCGACATCACCTGATTTGAGTCCAGGTGACGAATGATTCTCGCGCTCGAAATGGATGTTAGTGTCTTATATATGGTCGGTAGACACGTGATGGGGCGGTATTTGCTCGGGTCTGTGGTACCCTGGCCTTTAGGAACCAAATGGGTGATCCCAGTAGTGAAGAGGCTCGGGAGCGACTTCTGGTTGAGAACCTCTTGAAACTGTCGGGCGAGCACAGTGTGACACACCACGAACCCCTTCAGCCAGTAGTGATGCAGCCCGTCGAGTCCCGGACTTTTCCAGTTCGGGGCCCTACGGACCGCCTCAGCTACGTCATCCGGCGTTATGGTGACGGGGTCCATGGGCGTAATACCCGCACACTGACTCGCCACAACTTCCGTCCAAGGGCCCTCGTTGTGGTTTACGGGCTCTGACCACAGGCTGCGCCAGAACGCGACCGTGTCGGCCTGATTCGGTACTGGGCCCGTTCCACTTACCATTGGTCGCTCCAATGATTTATAGAGCCTCTTCTGATCACTCTGGAAGAGACGATTCTGGTTGAACCGTGTCGACCTCTCGGTATATCGCCGAATCCGCTTTCCCCAAGCAGCGATTCTCTGCTTCAGGTCGTCTATGCGCTCCGTCAGTTTTTGCATTATATCCGGCTGGGACAAACTAACATTTGTCCCAGCAAACGCCATCCTGACGGTGCGCACAATCCTTGGCCTGGTATTGCCTGACCTGAAGCATATCAGTCTGCCGATGAGGGCCCTAGCCTTTGCGATACGTTCTTCAATTCTTGTTCTCCAGGCTGGGATAGCACTACTTTGTCCAGTAGTGCGTCCAGCCGTGGAAAGTTTGGCGCCTATAATACGGCAGACTGCCAGTGCGGCGCCAAAGAGAATTGAGTCCGTCTCGCAAAGGTCCCGGCTGGCTTCCAAATAGGTCACCAGCATTGGGTTCAGAGCCCTCACGACAGCCCGATTCCGCTTGCTTAGGGCTATGCGGGGAAGTCGCGGTCGATTTTCGAGAGGCGTACTGCGCGTTTCCATAATCGCCTCTTCCAATGTACTCCTCATTTGCTCTATTTCTAGTTCCTGGGTGAATGTTCCATCATCATTTGAATCAGCAACCACTGGGGTATTCTCGGCGGCATCCACGTGTGCGGGTTGTTCTGCAACTTGTGGCACCGCACCCTCAGTCGTAGCGTTTTCATTTGATGAGGGAACAGCCTCACGTCGTAGCCGTTCGAGTTCGGCGCCATCAAATATATTTGAGCGTAAGATATACCGAACTCGGTCTGCCAGGTTTTGCTCGGTGACAGTAATAGATGGCTCCAGCTCAGTAAAAAGACGATGCATCCTAGCCCGATACGCGAAACCTCCAATTTCTCCCCCTTTCGCCCTAAAATACGCCCGCAATGCGTTTGAATTCATATTGATGGTCCATCGCATGCGGCGTACTCCACCAGTGGCGGGTGCCGATTGCTGGGCCTGCGAAGACCCTGCCGACACCAAGCAAGCTGGTGGGGATGATGGATGCGAGGGGCTGCTGGGTGGTCGTGCAGCACCTCGCGCTCGGCTGGCGGTTCGCATGCTGTCGCGTCCAGCGCCAGCTCCAGACGCGCCCTGACGACCTCCAGGCAGCGGCCCTTTGCGCAATCTTCTATGTTCCATCATCCATACAGGGCGTCATTTAACGGGAGACGCCCAGACCCGGCGCCGTTTCATGGTGAGGCCATATGCACAAGCGGGCCCTTGCACCATCAATTTTTGCCGAGGCACGGCGCTCACACCTCTTGGCAAGGTGCTGACTGACTGCGCGGACGTAGCGGTTTTGTCACATAACCGTCACGTCAACGGGCGATGGGGTCGTCACTTCCCTACGCCCTATTATTATTATTATGTGGGGTATCTATATAGTTTTCTCATCTGGTTGGGATGTATAAATATATAATTATAAATGAAAATGAAAAGATAAATATACATAAATATTAATAAAATAAAATAAATACAAAAATACATAAATAAATAAAAGCCCAACCAGATGGAAGCCCTCGGCAGGGGAGACCAAACGGCCGAGGGTTAGGGGGAAAGGGAAAGAAACCGGCGGACGATGCGGGCAGTATCAAGGAGCACCGCCTTCTGCATTTGAGCCCGGAGCGGTCCGTCACGGAGTCCCAGTCGCCTCAGATGACCAGAGAGGCTAACTGGGATTAGCCCATTCGCAGAGACGACTACAGGAATAATTTCGGTCGGCAGACCACCCCACATGTCGGTCACCTCGTGAGCCAGGTCCAGATACTTTGATTGCTTATCTGTTTCGGCTTTCACGAGGTTCTCGTCATACGGGATGGTAATATCGACCAAAAATATTCTTGACTGTGCCCGGTCCATCAGCACAATATCAGGCTTATTCGCAAGAATAGTCCTGTCTGTGATGATGGCCCGGTCCCAGTAGAGCCTGGCGCGGTCATTTTCGAGCACGGCTTCCGGCAAGTACTTGTAATACGGCACTTTCCGGTCCACGAGACCGTATTTCAGAGCGAGCTCCTGGTGTAGAATTCTGGCTACTAGGTTGTGCTTGTGCAAGTACTCAGAGTTAGAAAGCGCCGAACAACCGGAGATGACATGCCTAAGTGACTCCCCGGGATGGCGACAAGCTCGACAGACGTCGACGGTGCCATCCTTTAGGATGTATCTCCGATAGTTGTTGGTCTTAATAACCTGATCCTGTATTGCACAGACAAAACCCTCGGTTTCCCCGAAAAGGTCACCGAAACGTAGCCAGTTGAGGGAGGCGACTGTATCTACGAAGGGCTCATGTAGAGCCTTGTAGTACCTCCCGTGGAGCTCCTTCTCCTTCCATACGGTCTCCCGGTCGGGAATGCTAAGCACTGCCGGGTCCTGCCATTGCTCGTTGGCTAAGGATAGAGGGGTAAGCCCTTTATCACTAGAAATGACGTCATTATAGAATGGATCATCCGATCTCGTCAAGAAGTATTGACGGAGACTGCACACTTCGCGATTATGCATGGTGAGCGCGCTCAGAAAGCCACGCCCACCATGCTTTCGCGGCAAGTACAGCCTCATTACCGACGATCTCGGATGATGCATCCTATGGGACGTCATGGTAGTGCGGACTTTTCTATCCAGGGCGTTAAGCTCAGTCTGAGTCCACCTGAGTATGCCAAAGGTATACATGAGGACAGGCATGACCCAGCAATTATATGCGTGTGACTTATTCACACCGGACAAAAGGCTGTTAAGCACTTTGGTCAAGCGTGCATAAAACACGTCGCAAACTGACTGTTTCATACCAGCCTCATCGATACCGATGTTCTGTGACATACCCAGGTATCGGTATGTTTCAGCCTCGGAAAGGGTCCTTAAGTTGACGGGCATAGACAAGTCTATGCCCTCAGAGTTAGCAACCCTTCCCCTCTCAACATGGAGGACCGCACACTTATCCGTCCCCAGCTCCATTCCAATGGAACTGCTAAATTCACAAGTGATGTTTAGCAGTTCCATAAGATGGGAGCGACTGGAGGCGAATAACTTGAGGTCATCCATATAGAAAAGGTGGGTCACTTTTGTCCCTCCTCTCCGTAGCTGAAATCCCCTCCCGGAGCCCTCCAGTAAGGTACTGAGAGGGTTTAGAGAGAGGCAGAACCAGATTGGACTCAGACAATCGCCCTGGAAGATACCCCTTCTTATCCTTATGTGGTTCTCCGCAGCCATCATCCGCTCGCCCAGATGACAAAGGATCGTACTCCACTGCCCCATACACTGCTCGAGGAAGTCTCTAACTGTACAGTCAATCTTGTACAGCTCGAGGACCCTCTTTAGCCATGTATGGGGCACCGAGTCGAATGCCTTTCTATAGTCTATCCAGGCGGCAGAGAAGTTCCGACGGTTGCGTTTCACCACTTTGCCAATGACCGCGTCAATGAGGAGTGGTTCCTTGGTTCCACGACCACCGCCCCGACATCCATTTTGAGCGCGTGACATCAACTGGTTTAGCTCCAGGTGCCGAGTGATTCTCGCGCTCAAAATGGATGTCAGTGTCTTATATATGGTGGGTAGACACGTGATGGGGCGGTATTTGCTCGGGTCTGTGGTATCCTGATCTTTAGGAACCAAGTGAGTGATCCCAGTAGTGAAGAGGCTCGGGAGCGACTTCTGGTCGAGAGCCTCTTGAAACTGTCGGGCGAGCACAGCGTGACACACTATGAACCCCTTCAGCCAGTAATGATGCAGCCCGTCGAGCCCCGGACTTTTCCAGTTCGGGGCCCTACGGACCGCCTCAGCCACGTCTTCCGGCGTTACGGTGATGGGGTCCATAGGCGTAACACTCGCACCCTGGCTCGCCACAACTTCCATCCAAGGGCCCTCGCTGTGGTTTACGGGCTCTGACCACAGGCCACGCCAGAATGCGATAATGTCTGCCTGATCCGGTCCTTGGCCCGCTCCACATACCTTTGGCCGCTCCAATGATTTATAGAGCCTCTTCTGATCACTCTGGAAGAGACGATTCTGGTTGAACCGCCTTTATTATTATTATTATTATTATTATTATTATTACGTAAGACACATATTTTTTATTTTATTTGTGAAGTGCATCTTAGCGAACTAATTCTTAACATCTCTATGGATATTCCAAATCTAATACCTAATTCTATAAATAAAATAAAAAAACTTTATTTATTTTTGGGTTTGATCCATGTCAAAAACTTCTTAGTGTCATATTGGAAACTGAAATATGAAATAGAAAAAGGGGAATACCACATTTCATATATTATCAAAAATAGTAACAACGAGGTGCATTGGGCATCCCCACTTAGCTTAATGCTGCAGTTGATACTACAGTTGGTTTAAAAAGGCATCTGCTAAGTTCTGAGAATATAAACTTCGTTCCATTCGCCGTTCGACGTTCTATAAACTTTCAAGGTTATACGGCTCGAATCAATAACTTTGAATTGGAAACAACTGTCTTTAGCAAACGGTACTTAACTTACTTATCATAGAATTTAGTTTAAAACTTAAATATACCTCTTTCCGGATCTCAGCTTTTTATACAATTCCAATTATAGCCATGTTTATATGGCATACACATAGCACATAATGAATTAGCTCTAGTAAATCTCATCCCATTAATAACATAAAATGCAATTGCCTATAAACTCCCTTCATGAGATATAATGAGATAGAAGGTTGTAAAATAATTTTCTACTTATAGAAACTGGGTCAAATGTAAGAGCTTGAAGTGCGTTCTAAACTCTATACTATGTTTAGTTCTATTAATAGATAAGTGAGAGTAATAAACAAGTACTTAATGATAATTAGATACCGTGGCCCATAAGAAACCTTCATCTGACTTCGATTAATAATCAAAACTCATCAAAAAGCTTGAATACTACGAAGATCAAAATAGGTTTATCTGCGTTTAATGTGCCGTCCCAGCCATCACAAAGTGGAACTTTACAATAAACAAGAGATAAAATGAAAAAATGTATACACCGACTTCAATATAAATAAAAAAACCGGCCAAGAGCGTGTCGGGCCACGCTCAGTGTAGGGTTCCGTAGTTTCCCGTCCGTCACAATAAGTGTTCCCACTTATGAGTTTAAAGGTGGGTATCCATTATGTTCGTGCTCCAGCAGCGCTCCGCGCTCCTGCAACTGCTCCCGGTAGTGGGTACAGTTGTTTCCACCTAAGTTCAAAATGATTTTCCTAGAAAGTCCTTATAAAGTTCTACTTTTCAGATTTTTTTTCATATTTTCTAAACTTATGGTTCAAAAATTAGAGGGTGAGAGACACATTGTTTTTTAATTTTGGAGCGAATATTTCCGAAATTATTGACATTATCAAAAAATGATTTTAGTAAACCCCTATTCATTTTTAAATACCTTTCCAACAATATATCACACGTTAGGGTTGACATTAAAAAAAAATCACTTCCCACTTTACATATAGGAGGGCTACCCTAATAAAACATTTTTTTCCAATTTTTATTTTACCACTTTGTCGGCGTGATTGATATACATATTGGTACGCAATTTCAGCTCTCTAGTGCTAACGGTCACAGAGATTAAGCGAGGACGGACAGACGGACAGACAGACATGGCGAAACTATAAGGGTTCCTAGTTGACTACGGAACCCTAAAAAGAACATCATCAATGTATTCGAAGTCGATTTAATGCGCATTATTAAGGATAACTCAAAAAATACTGGTCAGATCTTGATCAAATTTTAATCGGACCCCATAAGAAGCACCAGGTTTAAAATAAAAAAGAATCATCAAAATCGGTTCAAGTATAAGAAGTTCTGAGGTAATACATAAAAAAGGTATAGTCAAATTGAGAACCTCCCATTTTCTTGAAGTCGGTTGAAAAGTTGTACTATCTACTGATGATAAACAAAAGGTAAATTCATAGTCGTGATCGGTTAGAGGAAATAAAGAAGAGGTAGAAGATAGTTTGTGTATGATCGACCTGGCTGTTTTTATAAAGGATGGGACATACAAGGCTGTTCACTGCTGAACATGGGCCCCGCCTCCCGCCTCCTACATAATCGTGGATTGTCTCATAAAGGGAATATTCTTCATAGTTGGCAAGTATAGAAAAAAATTGGTATAGTTGTAGCACAAATGGGTCGGATGGACCGGGGAAGGCCT